CATTCCTGGCTCCCAAAATGATCAACAGCAATAGCTTTATCCAAAAAACACACTAAATACTTACTGAACTTGAATACTGACACACGAGGTTGCACTGCAAATCATTTCTTTATCAGTCACTAAGGAATCCCCTTCATTCAGAGCCTTTATTACAGCAAGACATCCATGTCTCTCAGCGGTGGGGAATTCTGCCTGCTTTATGAGAAGCTAAGCTCTTTACCTCCTAATGAAATACTGGCTGTAAAACTTCAATGAGATTGATCTTTCTTCCCCAATACATGCAGATGAAACATAAAAGCTTCTTCAGAAAACGAAGAAATAAAAAACAACACGAAAATCAATTTATAACACTTAGCAGCTAGGATACACACCAGTGCCAACTTGTATAGTTTTATGATGAGTCTCATGATAGCTGATATTTTTCTTATATATATATATATACACATACACCAGAGAGGAGACCCACACATCAAGCAGATGTGTGAATTTCACATTTTAAAAATCAAAAAAGACTCTAGTTCTCATGGATATAGGAAAGTTACTGAAAATAACAACTGAATATCTACAAAAGCTTTACCTGAAGATAAATAAAAGCAGGTTCTAAATGTCATTATATCTGAGTTCATGATTTTTCTATGTTTGCTAATGGTGACACAGTTTATATTTTCAAGAAAAAAAAGTCACTAATGTCACTAATGCTTTCCAGGCGCCAAATCTACCTTTTCATGAGGTACTTGAACATGTAAGAACTAGATTATATAATACTGGTTCGCAAGCGTCCTCATAAAGTGGGCTTTGTTGCAATATAGAGACCACTTGGAAGTCTTTTTTTTTTTTTTTTTTCCAGTCATAGCAGGGCATTTTTTGCATTCACATGAAATATCTTGGGTTTTCACGGGAACAATTCAAATAGCAAAGTAGTATTAGACAAATACAGCCTGGATTTAGTTCAGTAAGCATTAGGAAAAGTTATCAAATAATATCTGCTATTTACTGTCTCCTGACGACTCTCTTCTTTCCAGGACAGAGCAATCCATCCTTCCCGCCCATATCACACTAGGGATGACCACTTTGGAGTGGCCAGAATTTCTGCTATCTGCTAATCAGTAGCATTAAGGCCCCCTCCTTCAACAGAACTTCACTGATACCATCTGTCAGGTTGATATTTTAGCCAACATCATTCTGCAACACATGTTCGGAAGCTGCACACATGGACTAAATGAATGCTAACTTAAACCTTCTCAAATTAAGGCTTCTGTGGTGGAATTCTGCTAGGTCTAAAGGTCTTTTGCTTGCATAATTCATGCACTGGAGATTTTACATGCGTTGACTGCTGACCAAACAAGTCATTACACTCCACTTACTTACAACGTCATTTGAAGTTGCAAGGAAAGGAGGGGTGTGGGATGGGAAATCACTTGGAGCATTTCCATTGATCATGTCAACTCACAGTTGAAAAATTACATTTACATATTAATATTATTTAAAGCTCTTTAAGCACCAATTAGTTCGCTTTAAAAAGTAAAAACAGAAGTTTTTTGGGTTTGACCATATTATTCTGCAGTGGTATTTTTTTTTCCAAGAATACTTGTATCGAAACATTACAGACCACACAAAGTGAAAAGGATTCCTTCAGATTATACATATATATGTGTATACACACACAGGGATTTTCCTTTTTTTTTTAAAGCAAAATGTAGTTTTACAGACGTGGCTGACGGATCCTTCTCCACCATGGAAGTTTCCAGGTTTCCAGCAAATGCATGCATATTTGCCTTCTTTTAAGATACACAATATAGGGCCCCTGATCATTAAATTATTTCTCCCTTTCTGCTAACAAAGGCTTCATCTATTATGATAAAACTCTGGCATTTCTTTTGAAAAGAGCAATGAGCAAGCAAGGACGACACTCCCCCAGTTTCATCTCTGCAGACTGAAGTAGGCAAGAAAAAAAATTACACTACTTTAATTGATATTTTTTAGCTTTTCTCAGATAATGAGGCCAGTTTGGAAATTCTCTTTTTTCTAAACAATGTTTGATCATTTTAGGGTATCTGAATTCTTGACTTGGCCAAAACAGCATCAATAAACCAAGGGAGCAGAGTCTCCAATTTATTTACTCACTGGTTTTCCTCCTGTGTAACTGGGTTGCAGGCTTTTCAATTAACAGGGAAGCAAGCCACCGGGTTTTTGCTCTTGTGCACAATTAAGACACATTTTTACTTGCTATTATTTTAAACATTTATGTCCTCAAATACTTCCTAATTTAGCAATTACCTAAGCACCAAATACCCCTCTGTGAGGGTAGCAAAGGCTAAACGCGGTTCGTTCTTTAAATCCCTATACAAGGGTTGCTACCTCTTTTCCTGGACCCCGCTCCCGACCCAAGGAAGCTGCGGCACTAACGAGCTCCCATGTCCCTTGAAAGCCTCTCGCAGGCACCTGCTCCCGGCTGCGTCACCTCCCTCCCATCCACGAGGCCGTAGGCGGGAGCGCTCCGAGCAGAGCTGCCTACAAACGCCCCTGCACAACAGCCTCGCTTTTCCCACCGGCCTTTCCTGCCACCCCTGCGCTGGCAGACTGAAAAACAAGCTTAGACACGTAATAATGTCTCTTTTTTTAACACACAATACCAAAAGCATTGATGCATTTCCCCATCTGTTTCTTTTCATGCCTTGTCTTCGCTCCACCCTCTGCCCCGTTGCCTTTGAATTCAGGTTTTTGCTGAGAGTGCTGTTTTAATTAGTGTGGGATTTCAGCCTCAAAGTGTTTGTCCCATATTTTTCTTCCAAAAACACATTGGCATTCTGCTGATGAACGACTGCATCAATAACCCCTCTATTCCAATATTCCTTGCAGATCTTTGGCTTTTTGCCAC